TGACACACACACACGGACACACACAGACACACACACGCACACACACACACACACACACACACACATAAATGAGGATGCACACACACTTTCTCCACAGCAGGTAAGAAGATTCAACTTGTTCAGGAGTGTTTTAATGAGCAGCGCCGGCCTGTTGCTGCTGCCTGCTGGTTTAGGTATCTTACCTTCATCTGCCACCTTCTCTATCGGCACTTTCAACTCATGTGCCATGAAACCAATGACCGAGAAGATGACAAACCCAGCAAATATACTGGTGGCACTGTTTGTACATGTCACAATAATTGTATCCCTACGGAGAAAAAGAGGAAAGAGAGAGACAGAGGCTGAATAAGCAAATATCTGCTATAGCGACTGAAATACGGCAGCAATATTCAAAACATGCTACACATAACAAGTTATATATTATATGATAATGCTCTTAAATTTGATTAAAGATCACTCTCATGTACACACAGATAAGAGATGCCTTTGGCGCCCTCTGGTGGCAGGAATAAATACTCTGCAAATAGAGGGCTCTAAAGAGTGTTAGGCATTTACACAAGGTGTACACAAGGGGGTGTAGTGCTTTTTATTGTAAAATGTCTCTGTTATTTTGTCCTAGTCCAACAAATTGACTTTATTTTATATTGAAACAGGGCGGTTGTGTATGAGGCATGTGTGTGTGTGTGATCCTTCATCTGCTGAGTTGTGTCTGCGTGAAAAACATGTTTCTGCAAACCACAATCAATTACAATATTCTTTCAATTTAATAATGAAAGAAACACTGAACTGCTGGCTGCAAAGAGTGTCATTTATTACTGACAATTCTATCAGACATACAGATACAGTGGCATGTGTCTATTGTGCCAGAAGCATGGTTTACCTTTTGTGTGTTTACCTGTAGCAGTTATTGTGGAACTTGTTGTAGGAAGAGAGAGTGATGAGGCCTCCCCAAGCAGCCGACAGAGAGAAGAAGATCTGAGTGGCTGCGTCTTTCCACACCTGACGGAGGAAGAGAGGAAGAGCTGCAGGTAAAGAGCAGGGAAAGGGACAAACGGTGCAAAAAACGGCTGAATGTAACGAGCAGGCGTCAGGTACCTTCGCATCGTTCAGTTTCTCCCACTTTGGTGTGATAAAGTAGAGGATTCCGTCGAAGGCACCGGGGAGGGTCACTCCTCTGATCAGCAGAATGACCAACACCACATAGGGAAATGTGGCTGTGAAATAAACCACCTGAGCAGAGGGGAGACAAGAAAAAGAGAGAATGGCATCAAAAAATGTGATATCTAAAGATAATAGAGTGGAAATAGGAGGTCTGTGAAAGGAGACTATTCTTCTTATTAAGAGTGTTCTGTAATGTATGCAATATTCAATTTACTTTTTTACATTTAGTCTCTTTTTAGTCATTTTAGTGTCAAACCTAAACTTAATCTAGCTATTACAAAAAAAGGATGGTTGGATGTTTGAGCTTCACCGTGCAGAATGATGTATGTGCAGAGTTTGACACGTTTCAGATTCATCTGCTGAAAGTGGAACATTTCTCTGATCTCACAGAAAATCTGATTTTTAAGGGGTCTACGAGCATAATTTGTGACATGACAAACAATCTGGGTTGAAGTCAATCCTGGTCTAGTTTGCAACATCAACTGTGATATAGAAACTGAAGCCACCAGCACACATACACCGAGAATGGACTTAATAAACTTAATTAGCGTATTCGTAGATTCTGGAAAAGAAAGAAGGAGTAGACTTTTTAAGGTTTTTAATGTGGAAATTATCATTTTCGCAGAAAAAAAAAATCAGGCACACATTATTGTTCCAAACAGAACAAACATCTGTAACGTCTTAATGTATGTCTGGAGGGGATCTTTAAGTTTCTAAGGCAAAATATTTTTTGTCAGTTGATAAAAACAAACCTGTAATACAAGAAAGAATCAAATTCCTACAATCCTTCTCACAGCGACAGTGTCTTCCAGGTTTCATTTTCCCACATAATATAAATCATAATATAAAGCAAATGTGAGGTTGCAGAGCGTCTGTCCTTAATGCATGAACTGCAGCTGCATTACAGTGTAATGAGCAACCTTAGCCACAAATACCACCACCTAAAATTTGAATTTGTGCCATCTCTCAGGAGTCTTAATTATAACAGTGCCAACTGAGATCTCTGAATGTTGCCACAGTGTATGTCACATCTGTGTCCAGTAGAGGGCAACCTTATACAACAATTCAATCTGAATAAGCTCTAAAGTCTAGCAACAATCAGTGCAATGTAAAATGTTTCCTTCTGCATGCTGTCCTTGCATATTGGGAGAAAAAGAGATCTCCAAAATTCTACCAAAGGTCCAATTAAGAGTGATGCAGAGAGGGTAAATTAATCTTGCATTCCCCTTTTTCTTTGTAAAGTGTATCCCACAATCCACTGCAACGCACAGAGATGCTGTGGGTGTGCTCAAGACACCCTGTCCACAAGTGCTCAGTGCTTCTTCTTCATGCACTCAGCAATTATAAGTTTTAAAAAAGTGATAAATAACTATATTTAAGAATATAAAACCCAAAGGCGGACATTCAAAGAAATACAAATCAAGTTTCTCCACAAACAACAGATCAAAGATTACAAAGCTACGAGAACCGAACCCCAGGCCACAACAAGGTCTGTTCAAATTAAAATATGAGTTAAGATTGGGGTTGGTTTTTTTTCAGGGGTTTGTGTGTTTTCTTACCTTTCCTGATGACTTGATTCCTTTGGCTAAAGAGGCGTAGACGATCAACCAGGCCAGGAGCAGACAGCCTGCCAGAGGCCAGCGGATGTCTCCTGGATATTCAATTCCTTTAGAGATGTGCAACACATTGTACCTGCAGGTGTGAATCAAACAGCAAAGTTTTCAGTCTGAAAGAAAATTGCAATAAACTAAATTTACATAAAAAGCAATGTAGATTAAATATAAATCTGTACACTGCAATTTTATTTATTTTTATAAATGTTTTAATTCTTGTGTATTACTTTTCCTACAAGTCTTAATTTACCTTTTGAGAAAGTAAGGCAGTAAGATTATTTCAACACAAATCATCTTCATTCAAGAATTTAATAATAAGGTCTCACATGTTGTATTTGTTTTGTATTTTGTACTGTAGTTGTAAGATTGCACTGGAAATTAATCTGTAATTCGTTCACTGCAGTGGCAGATTTTACACTTTACGAAAAGGTTTCAAGGTACATTGGTGATTTAAATTCAAAGATTTATTGGTCCTCTTCTACACCAAAAATGTAGAGCTGTGGTTCTGTGAAACCCTTTCAAGAGGGCAAATTTAAAACAAATTTTTAAAAACTGTTATCATTATGAAGAAGTCTGCTCTCAGTTCCTGTAAACCCTTTTTGCTGCTGCCCGACGACGCTGTTTTGAAGGCCCTAGAAAGCCAAACATCTGCATGAGAAGACTGAGAAAAATATCAGATTTTTATTCCTCACTAAAAATTAGACCTGAAAACCAAACTGTCCAGGTCAAATGTTTGTTTCTATTATTAAATTCTACTTTAAACCGTTTTTAATGATGCACTCACTTGAAGTACTCCTCACTGGGGCTGACGTATGTCTTGTTGCCGTCCACAGTCATGTTTATCAGTTTGCTCAGATTTCCCACAGCATTCGCAGACAGACAGAACGTGGAGTTCTTGATGGAGGTGATGTTTCTGTCCCGCAGGATGCACGTGTCTGTTCCAATCAGAAACCAACACACGTCAACTGGGAGAGACTGTCAGAGTGCTCCTGTGGGACAGAGCTTACTGTCCACTCAGGTTTTCACACTGAAAGTAAAGTGGGAGCGAACAGATGGGTCTGATTTTGAGAAAGGAGGACTGACAGGAGGCTGATCCTCAGCGAGAACTGGACCCAACTTAGATTTTGATTCTTTTTTTAATATACAGCCAACAGGGACACTGAATCTGTGCCTCTTTCAGACACTAAGGGAAAGGAAAGATAAGAAAAACCTGTTTTGCTTTTGACTGCACAATTTTTCATGCAGACAGGTCAGACAAATTGTGCAGACAAAATTGCTTTTTATGCTTTTATTTCTTAAATCCTGCTGAATTCATATAAAATGCAGTGTATATTGTGAGAATTTATTTTTCTAAATTCAAGACAAAATACTGACTAAAACTGAGAATAACTCTCTGCAAATTACCTTTAACTAAACAACAATAACTCAACCACTCAGGTGGCAGAGAAAGAGTTTTTCTGTAACTAAACAGGATGGAGAAAAATAGCACAAACCAATGAACCTAATCCAAACAAAAAATAATACTTTCCACCTCCATCTGCATCTTTTTCACACAAAAATGTGAAAATTATAAACTAAAAGTATTTGTCATTTTTGCAGTGTGTTTGGTCCACCCCACTACATTAATACTCTACAGATTACATCATTTAAATAATATTTATGACGTCAATGAATGAATAATTTATTGTAACTTTAAGCTACCTTAATGATTTTCTTATTGACAATCTTTCTGTTATCTTCCTCATTGAAGAGATTGAGAGAGTGGTAGAGAGACGACAGTGTTGAATGGGCCTGCAGTGCGTGTGGCAGCCAGCAGGGGTCAGTCTCGGGCTCACTGCAGCACTGCAGCAGCTCAGCCAGTACAGTAAATTTGTCAAGCAAGCAGTTTTTTGTGCTGAATTCACAGAATCGCTAAAGGCAAATATTCTACGAAATGAACGGAATTTCGATATTTATTCGACGCAGATCGACATCAGACACCTCCGTGGCCCCTCCCCGCACACCCCCCCTCAGTCACAACATGATTCAATCTACAGTTTGATTAAAAAATCAGACCAAGACAGACTGCTTCAGCTGTATGCTGCAGCTTTAAAGCATAAAACAGAGCTATAATGTGACATTATCATACAAAGAAAGAATGGAGAATATCGGAATACATGTGTTTCTGTCCCACTGAGGGCCTCCTTTCATGGTATTCGGCCTGTGTGATTAAAAACGGATCAAAGAGATGAAGTGCTCTGAATGTAAAGTGTTTTTGAGAGTAGAAACACCGCAGAGATCACAGGTCAGGATTCATTATACTGCAGGACACCTCAGCTGAGGGAGTCATGACGCATTGCGCATTGTGCAGAGAGAGAGGTGCTTTTGGTGTGTGTGAGTGTGTGAGAAAGAGTGTGTGTGTGTGTGTGTGTGAAGGTGTGTGTCTTACCTAACAGCAGCATGTCTTTGTCCTTACATTCCACCGTGTTCCACTCATTCCTACAGTTAGCCCATGGCAGTGAGCCCTTCAACGAAGCGAACAGGTAGTACAGTGTCCAGCACATTATAATATTATAGTATATGGCTATCAAGACAGATATTATCAACATGGCAATCCCGCAACCTAAAATAAATAAATGAGACGAAATATATAAATTACTCTTAAGAAAAGTAGAGAACTCGTGATGATAAGAAAATGAGTTTTATTTGTGAATATTTTTTCTTTCTTTCTTTTTTTAGTTGATTAGTCTGTGGCAGTTTACCTTGCAGTGCTGGGATGCATTTCCACACTGAGACGGGCCCCTGGCTGGCAAACTGGCCCAGAGACACCTCCAGCAAAAAGATTGGGATTCCGGCAATGCCCAACATTGTCAGGTAGGGGATCAAAAACGCCCCTACAAGGAAATTACACAGCAGGCTACAGGGAGCAGTTCAAGTAACATTAACACTTTATGAAAAATTCAAATGGAAATGAAGACATGGAGCCGCTCATCTGCTGATATTTATTATTGATTAATGAATAAAAATCATCAGTTATCTGTAAATGTCTTCTACCATATCTGAACAAATTAAAGAATAAATAGTAATAATAATAATAATAATAATAATAATAATAATAAATCTAGGACTATTATTGCTAGTATTAATATTAATAATATTATTAACGACTGTGGCCGTTTTTACAGCTTTAATAATGATGTAAAAACCTTATTTAAGTGTATTTTTATTTATTTATCTTTCCTTTTTTTCTATGAAAATAGTCACTGAACAAAATTCTCTCCTCTTTGCTTGTATTTTCTTTAACACGGTGTTTGTTCTCCTGGTTAAAGGCCTACGAGGATAAACTGGGCGACACATTGGAAGAACCACCTCAAGCAATAAGAGGACAATAATCAGAAATGTTCAAACCCTGACCTAAAACAAAGTATAATTCGATTTTCTGAACAGATTTTTCGTTTCTTTTCGGTGTCGGGATTTTAAAAGCAGTGACCCAGAACTCTTACCTCCACCATTTTGGAAGGCGAGATAAGGGAACCTCCACACGTTCCCCAGTCCCACCGCATAGCCAACCATGGACAGAATAAAATCCAGTTTATTGGACCAGTTTCCTCTGGCCTTGTTCTCATCTCCCCCCTCGTCATCATCTTCCGCCTAAGAGGAGGGGGAAAAAGCATTCATTCATTCTCTAAAATAAAAACCTACTCACACCACACTCCAAGTTAAACCATTAGGAGATTTAAAAAAGCACTGAGTCTGGGCCTGAATTAATTACAACGAATAAAATGCATCACTGTTTTTAGAACCAAGTGAATGTTACTAACATAAGGACACCTTAAAATATGTTTGTTCATTTAAAAATGCAAAGCAATCCTGTAGAGTTATCCTTTCGGTGCCTAAATATCACTGGATTTCTCCTCCGTGTTCATTTTGTTCACCATTACAGATGCGTTTGACGAGCACCAGCTTTCCAATAACAAGCCTGCATATATCTTCATCTCCAACTACACTTGCAGGCCTATTATCACCACCAAAGCCCTTTAAATTACACCCTAAATCTCAGACTGGAGGATAAAAAAAAACCCTGTAATGGCCCAGCAATAAAAAAAAGGCAACAAATACTAAGAAAAATGCGTAATTACAGCTGCACCGCAGGATCTGAGCAAATACATAAAAGAAACCGCATGAATATTCAGACTCAAACAACACCATGCATGGGAATGTGTGTGTGAGTGTGTGTGTGTGTGTGTGAGGGGGGTGTTCCCTCTCGGGGATTGGAAACAATCCGCAGTCTCATGTAATACAGTGCTGCCTATCAGCCGGATAACACCTGGGCTTCTGGGCCATACCGAGAGTGTGTGTGTGTGTGTGTGTGTGTGTGCTGGGAGCAGGGGACGCCGAAAACACCGCGAGAGTATGATTTAATCCTCGTTATCCTTAATCGTGTTAACGTTGTACCGGTGAACAAAATTCAAGCAAAAGGAAATCGGTTGAGATCTAAAAGGACAAACAGTTTGGTTCAGATAAATGTTCCCTCTGCTCTGAACATCCACCCCCCCCCCCCCCGGTCCGTCCCTCTCCCATATTCAGTCTGACATAAAGCGGGTTTGAAAGTTTGGATGGTGGAGCCGAGCCAGCACCGTACTGAGGCTGGGTACCCATGGTGGTCGGCACATTCATTAAGCGTAAATCAACCCACCTGGGTGTGTGGCTTAATGGGCATCTTATTACAGCCAATGAATGCCAGCAGAACAACAGGCCCGCTCCTTTTCAAATAAGACGTTTTTTTTTTTTTTTTTTTTTTTTTTTTT